ATTGTATTTATGGTTTAAATATCTTTCATAGGCATAGTAGAATTTAAAATATCAGTACATTATATAAGTGTTTTAAATATGTCATAGGAATTAGCCCTTTATGACACCGATACGTATGGATAATATTTTAACATATGCAGGGATAATCATACGTCACCCAACAATCACAACAATCAAAATACTCAAAGGCTAATGGAATATAACACTTTATCGTATCGTTGATGATATACCAAATGCTATGTATGTGTGCCAGTAAAATGTCAAACTTTCTTAATATCTGCAGATTTCACAGCCATTCTTTGTAAAGAAAATAAAATCTCTTTCAATTCTATTGAATATTACATTATCACAGAACTTGGTGACCTTTACGCTCAGTGACTGGAATACAAAATGTTGTTAGTGTTGTTGGCATTTTTCCATAGTCCTAATATGTCAACACAACACAGTCTAAACAGCAATGACATATATATTCGATTGAATTCGATGCTAGTTCACGAGACATCCTTCATCAGATATCCGATGTTAAACGTTTTAGCGACTTAATAAAATGAAATGAAATCTTAGAAGTTCGGATTTTGTTTTTCTTTTTTATTCGTTTGTCGTTTCCATCGTTGCTATTATTTCTTCTTTTCTTCTACTTCTCCTTGGACATTTCAATTGATCCATTATACAAATACCAATCATTGCGAGTGTAATGGTATGATTCCAATATGGGGGGAAATGAAGTATTTTTCTTTGAAATATTTGGCATTCATGGTGAGGGGTTTTTAAATGAACACCATGGCCAAACAATGTTCATTTAAATATTTAAGCACAATATAATGCAACCTTATGAAATTTCATTCGACCTTATATTCATTACAAAATTCATAAATAATTAAAAAGGTGCGAACGGTCAGTAACAACAGCAGGTGATTTCAATATTGTTGTACAATGCTTTACATAAATTATTCAACAAAATGTTATAAATATTAAAGACCCAATTTCGTGATTTCTCTCACCAAGATTAAACACTGTATGAGGCACAGCTTTGTGTATTTTGTTTAGATTGATGTGCCTTGGTTTTTCTTTCCTTCTATTTATTTTTTGCTGGTCAATTGTTTTTAATAAATCATAAATGGCAGCAATCAGCAAAGGTGCTAATTAAGCAGAATACCCTAGGCTTAAAAAATCTCTCACAAACGGTGTTCATAAATTATCCTTAATTAGTTTCTTGCTGCATGTTTCGTTGTTCAGGATAAATAAGCGAAAGCATTGAGAATATACGAGTATTTACAAAAATATACCACAGGCGCTTCTAAATGTTGGCAATTTATATAAGAGGATAAGAGAAAAGTTAGTGTGAAAACCACCTGACTGCCAACATGGATATTTGGAGTTTAATATTACACCGAACTATATATAACTGCGGGAACCTGAATTAAAGTATATATTAATGTCATATAAAAAATAGCACATCAATTTGTTATTCAACTAACTGCCACAGACCAGACCAACATATTTTGTTTTTAATTTAATTTTTGTTTTTAATTTAATTTAAATTTAGATTGATTCAAAAATATTCCTTTTAAATATGAAGTAAAAATCTCAACAACTTCTGGAGATATAGCCGTTTTGTTGTGTCAGTATCAAGCGACGGCAAAAGTACCTCTCAAATTTTAAATGCGTTTTTCTTTTAGGATTGTTGGACACGATAACTAAACAACTAATAATCCAATCGTTTCCAAATTTTAACACTTTATTTGGACTTGTGTTCGAAAATAGGTGATTTTCAAACAAGTATTTTTCTGATGATGTGAGGCACTGCTGTAGGTTCGGAGACCTTTGGATCCTTGAATTCTACCGAAATAATATCATCAACTAGAATATCAAATGACTACGATCCACCTCGAGCAGCGTCATGAGCTTTTTTATTTTTTGCCGTCGAGGATTGGTCTATAATTGTAAATTGTAGTTTTATTTGCCTGCGAACAAAAGATACTCCACTAAAATTCCCAAATATGTATTTCCTTTAAAGGGGAGTCCCCTTCTCGATTTGAATAAATTGATTTTTGTTTTTTTTTTATTTAATTCGAACCTACACTAATTCAAGAATGTCCTAATAAAATTTCAAGTGAAAATCTCAACAACTTCTACAGATGTTTTTGAGATCAAGCGACGGCGTGAGTGCTTCTCAAACTTTAAACGTTTTTACCAATGGCGGACACGATAACTCACTAACAAATAATCGAATCAGTTCCAATAATTTAATAATACGTTATTCTGTGCGTATCGTATAAAATAGGTTACATGTAATCGGTCAAGATTATACTTATTTTTTTACTTGGTTTTTTGTCAAAAGTAGGGATTTTTCCAAAAATCAAATTTCATAAGTCCATCATTTTGTTAATTTTTGCACGATGTTAGTAGTGCTAGTTCTTACCAGAGCCGCAAAACCTTTGGAATGGTCGGCAAACATGTCCGCCGTCAAAAAGAATGACTTTCGTTAAATTATAGAACCAAATTGTCTAATTCTTTAAGACTTCATATACATATATGAAAAGTTTTAAGTCTTCAATGCATGTTCCTTTGCCAGCCGATTGAAAATCACATTTCAAATCGTGAATGGAGGGTCACCTTAAGAAATCAATTGTTCTAGTCCTCAAAAAGTTCTTATTTTTTACTATTTCAATTTCGCCGATCCCTTGGCCTTCTTCTGTATTCTTCTATGTTTTCTATATTCTTCGGAGCAACAGTAATTATATTTGTTATTGTTAAAAATAATTTTTTCACAATGTTTTTTTTTCATTCAATTGCTATTAATGTTAATAAAATTTAACTGTGCTTTTCATCTATTTCTGGTCATAGAATTGAATTAGGAAATTTATTAACAAAGATGGCAACAGGGCCATAGATTTTTTTCCCAAAAACCCCTAAATAATAAATTAAAAACTTTATTAAATTTGATTTTAGTTAGAAAACAGAATAAGGGGCGGTAACGTCCACAAAAATAAACGTTCATAAAAATCCATTAGATATTAATTGAATTTAGATTGTAGGCAATGTTTGATGTTTTCTAAAATGTTATTTTTGTCACTATTTGAAGTTTGCTGTTGGTCGCAATTCTACCCAAGGCTTAAATACCTGGAACATAAATGTTTAAATTGTTGCCCAGAATTTTCGGCAATAAGAAAATGGAATTTCCCAACAAAACAACAATGAAATGTAAACGTCATGCTGTGATTTTATATATAAACCAGTATGGTGATTTGTCAATAGGCTTTTTTCTCTTCAAATCAATGGGGTCAAGTGCAAATAATCCCCTTTGGCCAAAAGTCAATACTTGTTTCTCTCCCATCTCTGACCTGGTAAAAGTACAACAAAAACAAACATTGCGTTAAACTTTTATCACATAATCTGTAATGTGTATGGATCTCAGTTTCGTTGCTGCTGTTGTTGTTGTATGTATTTCGCTGTAATTTGTTTTTGTAGTCACTGGCACGTGTAAGGATTGCCTTTTTTATTCGCCTTCAATGCAAATGACAAAAGGAAATTGAATGAGAAACAAAATCTTTTCACAAAATACCTTTTGAAAATGTATTAAACGAACACAAACAAAACAACAACAAAAATAATAATTTCTCCGTTACATTTACAACAGAATAATGCTTAAAGTTATATTAGATCAGGTGTAACTTTTCACTTAACCAAATGAGAAAACTAGTGTTAATAATTTAAATAAATACGTTTTGAGATTCCAAGGAAAGTATTCAAATATTCAATATCAAGAAGTAAAGAGAAATAAAAGGTGGGATCTACCTAAAAGAATTTGCTTGAGGTGGGACAAAACAAGTATCAATAAAATCGTGCAATTGAAAAACAAATTTAAAAATAATAACATGGTTCATGGTTCAATTTTAAATATGATAATTTATTACATATCACAATAGAATAAATTACAATATTTTAAAATATTAAAAATTGTTTGAGATTTCAGTACAAATTGTACAAACCACAATAGTACAAAAGTACACCATGGAGCATACATTTACATTGCATAAATTATTGAATTAAAATCGTATTTCTTTGCATTTAAACTACACAAGACATACGTCTAATAAAGGCTATAAAAAATCTTGACAAAATATGTCAAATCTCTAAAGTTATTCACTTTTTTTGAAAGCAACTTCTTTATGCGGAAGCTCATTTGAGTTTAATTTCCCATTATAGTATAGTATATATTATTTGAATATATAGACCTTTGAGTAAATCCTTAAAAGTTTTAGAGGATTTTGTAAATTTAAATTAGAATTTCAATGAAACACAGCATTTGTTGTAATATTAAATACTTTAGAACTTTTTTTCCAACATCGAACATAAATTTGCATCACACACCCCACAATTTTCACTAAAAACAAATTTGTGTTGCCAAAAATAGGTAGAGAAGAAAAATCACTTGGCTTCCACTTGAATATGAGTTTTTTATTTTCATCGTTATCAAAAGTAATATCATTAGGCACTCACCTGGTGGTTGTTATGACACAAAGAAAACTCTTAAGGAAGTCGAAATGTTTCAAAGGAAAATGCCATGTCAAAAGTATTTCCCCCACTCCGCCACACAGACACAAATCTTCGTTGAAAAAGTCTTTAAGGGCTTAAAATCGTCCATAATGGAAACTTCATTTTTCAAGGAAGTTTTTAAAATTATAATCGGTTTCTTGAAAATCAAATGGAAAAGGGAGACTTTAAAGTCATGTCTGGATACGACAATAGGCACTGTAAAAACAATTGTTAATATTTTAAAATTAAAAAAAACTATCAATATTAATGCTGAACTAATTTTAGATATTATGATCTACACTGAACTAACAGATTTAGACAAAATGGAAATTGTTTTTCGGCATCTTTGTTCTACTTTTTTTCTGGGGCAAGAAAGGACTTTATAAACTTGGCGGGATTATTGTATTGGTTTTCTGTCTACTACCAAAATTAATGAAATAATTTGTTTACTTTCTTTTCAGAGTGATGTATTCGATGAAATCGACTTATCCGATTTATGTACAGCCGAATGCAGTATTAAAAACGTAAATCATAGTTTTCAGGTAAGTCTTAAAGTTTGTTATAAAATATACTACTTACTTTATTTACCATTTGATCCATAAGCCGGGCTTAAAATAGATTTCCAGGCGCGTCGGTGTGTGCGCAGCTCTTCCAATTTCAAAGACCATGTTCCGAAATGTGAAATTAACCGTCGGCGCAGATCGACCCTTACATGTTCCGCCTCATCTGTTTGCGCAAGTACAAATTCATATGACCTCTTTCAGCAAGATGTCACACGACATCTGAATCCTCGTTCGGCATTGAAGGGATCCGAGAGGTGCTTTCCGACTTTAACTGCTGACATTGTGCCAATTAAAGTTATCCTGTATAGCCATATTCATTTTGCAGGAATGCAAACGCTTTCAACACCCCTAAACCGGGTTCATAGGTAGTGAATAGGTGGAATGTGTCGAAGTATTTTCGTGGGTCTTTTTCAGGATTTGACGCAGTGTGAAAATCTGGTCTATGGTGATAAGATTCAATAATATCATTGACCATCGGTTTCAGTCGTTCACACTAATTCCTTTATAGTTGGCACATAAAAGGAGACTAGACCTTTTTTGTACATGGGATACCGGATGTTGAGATTCCAATCATTGGGCATGCATTCTTTAAAATTCTTAAAAAATAAATTAGTACCTCATTTTTTGGAAGGAAAATTCTTTGTACTCTCATTTTCAATATCTTTAAAGTTTTGAATTTACACTGTAAATAGGGCACTAATTAAAATTTCTTATATTTGTATTTCTTTCAATTAGCAAACCTTTACATTTATAATTGCAAGTTGTGAACATAGTAAAATCCTAATTTACATAATAATAATAATCCAACATCTACCCTTAAACCACTGTATAGCAAATATCAGAAATCTACACAAATTTGCTGCTAATTTTATGAAACACTTAACCTTCAACTTAACCAGGTCTCATAAAATTTAATCCCCCCATTATCGAATTTATCTATATTGCATTTTAATATATTATTTTTGTTAAGCTACCACATTTCGCTATTATCATCGGTTTAGGTTGAAAGAGTTTGAGTTAATGTTCAACCAGACATCCGACCAACCATCCAACTAACCCAACAAAATAATGTACATTTTTACGTTATTATCCGCAAAACTTTAGAATGCCACTTGATCTGCCATCAAATTTTGTGTGTTTTTGCTCTAATCGTGTTATTCGTTCGGCAAAAACGAAAGCATCTACGTGTTGGCCTTAAACCGAAAACCAAGACAACTATAATATTTCACGCTAGAGATCCTTGGTTGCCATCCTGGAGGTAGGTGTTTTTGCAGTTTCTCTTAAAAAAGGGCAAATAAGCAATCTACCATAACAAATAAGGATATGAATTGGGCTATGTAATGGCAACAACAACATCAACATTGCCATTGAAATGACTTAAAAAGTAAACAACAACAAGAACAACAACCATCATTAAAGAGACCATAGCAAAATAAGGAAATGTTCATATTTATTGGAGATTGTGATGTTTATAGTCTTGGCTTTGTATCCTTGCTTGGGGTTTCGTTCGATACCCCAAAAAAAGGAAACGGTTATTTTATTACCAATATGAGTTATATGGAACCCATGAATGTATGCTGGTTGTTGCTATATGTGTTTGTGATAGTGAATTACTTAATACGATATACTCATATAATTGTTAATGGTGTAATAAACTGTATCCAGTAAAAATATTTAATGGCTAAATTCAACTGAAAACTTTACCTCATATAAAGTTTTTAATAAATTTAAATTTTGTCACGAATGTCCAAGAGATTTGATCATCAATAAGTTTTCCATGGTATTAGGATAACAACAAAATATATCATAAATATTTGTGAGAGGAATACTAATTTCTTAGTGTGCGAATTATAAACAACCGACTTTAGGCTGTGAAAGAAACCAATTAATGGAATTATTTATAATTTCCCTGACTTATGTTTATGTCGGTCAAATATCATAGTTATAGGAAACATGTATATTTAATAGCTGATAACAATAATATAAAAAATGCAAAAAAAGGTATATGTACATATACACCAATTTTGAAATATCAGGCCGACATTTTAGTCTTTCATCTATTTTATTTCAAAGTACGCTTTCGACATCCGCGTTTTCACCGCATTATTTCAAAACACCATAGCACACCTTATTGTAATATGTAAAAAACAGAAACAAGTTTCCCAATAACTTTTTCCCTAAGCCTATTCCATCTTATTGTCCTTGGTCTTTGATTTTTCCGCCTTAATTTCGTGCTTCAGCTAAAATGAATTCGTGTGTGAAAAAACGCAAAGTAACAGCAATATGAGAAATTTGTATACAGCCTCATCCTACGCTGCAGCATCTTTTAGCGCTGAATATCTGGTAATAAAAAACAACTTATTAAAATTCCTCTCTATTCTGCGTTAATACACTCTGAAATTGTGTTCTTATTATTTTTTTCATCGAATATTTGGCGAACGAGTGTTTAGGTATAGATATGGTACGGAAATATGGCTGGTGGTGGTACCTTTGAGATATGGGAATGAGGAAACATAATTTGTTTAATGGAATTTCAGCTAAATTGAAAACAAAAAGTTTTTTGTTGCTGTTGTTGTTATTGTTTTTGTTGAAGTGTAGCAACACAAGCGCATAAGCACTTAAAGTTAATATTCCAAAATATGTAATAATGCATGAAAAGCTCCCAGAGGTGGCACAAAACTCACCCAAATGGTTTTTATTCTCAGCTTCTGGTACCTAAATAAAATAAAAAATATATTATATATTGAATGATGTTGTGGGGAGGTATTCGATTCAATTCGCACATATATATGGGTGTATTGATTTACATGGTAAACACAGACTTATACAGATTTCCATTGTAATTCCACTTGATATTTCATGTCTGAAGTTCATCGGTGGCAAAGTGATTTCTCGATTTCATAAATATTTAAGTTTTATTGTTTTCCAGGAAACTCTTTCGTATGAAATGTGTTGTTGTGTTTCCAATATGTGTTATACAATATAACAAATTAAGGTAGATTTACAACGAAATGTTAATCACAGGCAATGACATAAACATGAAGCGTCTATTAAGAATTTCCAGGAAACCATCATTCCGAAGAAAGAAAATGTTTTTTGTATTTATTTTATATATAAAAATGTATTGGAAATATTAAAGTTCGAACTATTTTGTAAAAGTGTCAGTCGATGTAGATATACCCTCAGCCTATGGTTTGCGGACGTCTTCGGAATTACACACATGTTTTATTATTCACTTTATATGAGGTATATGTTTCTATCAAAGAGGCTAATCATTTAGCTTCAAATTAAAAAAATAAGATATTGCCCCTTTGTGGGTCAGGAACCAGAAGGAGTGGACCTAAGAAACCCATCTTCGGACTTAATCTAGGCTTTGTAAGGATAAAGATTGTGCAATGTTTGCTTCTAAACGGGCAATTTTTTCGCATTTTATTGAATTAGTAAATATTGAAAATATTGACCATTTGGGCGGGAGTTACCAGATGGAGTGGACCAATGGGTCTCATCTTCGGCTTTATCTAGGTTTGGAAAAGATAATAGGTTGTACAACGTTTGGTTCTATTCGAATGTATTTTTTTGCCCAATATTGACAGCAGGATTGGACCATCTTCGAAATAAGTTTGGAACGCATATTACGATGTGCAAAGATTGTATGAAATCGGTTACTAACTTCGAGAGTTATCGTGCGGACATTTGTAAATCGACACCAAAAAAAAAATAATAATAATATTTAGATGACGCACACCTTTGCCGTATCCAAGAAAAAATACCGATTTCTGTATTTTGGAGGTTTTTTATCAGAATTTCCCACCACAGTGGCTCTAATTCCAAATTCCTCGTGAATAAACATCTTATCGGTATATACAATGACATATCCTCATATAAAGGTTCCGATTTAAGGATTTTTGAATGAACATCACTTTGTGGGGGGATTTCCCTTATTTATGTCAGTTGGGAACTTTAAATTACATTCTATACATCAAATGAGACGACCACAGACAAATTACCCACATCTAGATTATCGTGAATCTCCCAGGTCATGTTATAGCACAAAAACCAAATGATTTCACAATTATCTCATTATTCAAATCATTGATACGCTATTAAATATTTATTACAAATATTTAATGATCCATCACAAATTGCTGCAAATGTTTTGTCATTTATCTCTCTATCGTTCCTTCAAAATATACCACCCATCCATCCGTATCCACATACAATCAGTCCATCAACAATTAATTGTTAGCCATCGTAAACGAGTGTGGGCTGGATAATTGTCCGGTATTATTTTATATTTCTCTTGGTCATTCTGTAAACACACACACACACAGCACGTACACACACACACCCGTCTGTACATATCGCCCTCCTAAACATTTACAGCCATCAATCAATTTCAATCAAAATATATTTTGTGTTACATGTCCTTTGTTTTATTAGCTCTCAGTCTATGAACTGAATAGATTTCTATAAAGTTTTACGATATCGATATTCAGGTCATATGTGGCTCATTGTATTACCATTTGACTATTTTGTTAGTTATTGACTTCGATATACCCTTTATATTAACATGAAACCTAATCCGCTCATTATATATATATATATATTGGGCCGGCACTTGTGTATATGTACAACAACATTATATTTTGTTGCCATTGTATATTCTACTCAGTTGTAATTAATAGTTAATATCTAATTTGTTAGGAGGGAAAGAGTGGTAATTGTTGCACAAATTGGATACAATAGGTAAAACTAAGTTTTTTGATAACAATACAATAGCATATTAAGTTTTTTTGGAATTTATAATTTTAGTGGATATTATTTTAAATGTTTTCATTCTCTATGCAGCTCCTTTACATATTTTTGAAGATCATAATGTAGGGGAGAGAGGGGCACCTTGGACCAGCCTCATAAAATCTCGGTTTAAACATTTTCCGACCCGCAACAATTTTTTTATATGGTAGCATCGTAAATAACTT